TAATACAGTTTGATAAACAATCACTGTGCCTACAAATATTATTTATGTGCTCTTGGCTGGCTGCGTACATTGCCGAGCAGAAAGATTCGTGTTGAAGCGGTTTCAACAACTTTTTGTGTACATTCAAAAACGGCGAATTAACAGCTATCCGACACGTAAATTTTAATTGTCAAGGCTAAATTTTTGTTTTGCACATGATTAAGAAGATTACAAGTCGAACACGCAAAAATGAATTTACATCTTTAAAAACACTCTTATTTTAAATAGCATTTATATTTTTTATATTATTTTAAAAAAACTAACACGGAAATATAGAAGTTTAAAGGAATAAATGCCCTGGATGAGCGAGCGCTAAAATTGAGTAGATGCGATTTCACTGCTCGCTGTTGCCTTTGTGGCTCGTTGCTGTTTTTCTTTCATATATAACAATCTTTGTTAAGCTACGAAATGGCCGACTCTGTATCGACGAATACCAAGAAGGCTGTTGAGGACGTGACGAAAACTACAGCGACAAAGAAGAACAAAAAGAAACCTGTCAAGAAGGATGTCAAGCCGACGAAGGAAGAGATCAAAAAAGAAAAAGTTTCGAGGAAGCTAAATGCAATAAAAGAGCAGATAGTCCGGCAGCGCGAAGAGGAAGAGCGACTTCGTAAAGAGGCTGAAGAAGAGGAGCGTCGGTTTCGAGAGGAGATGCTGAAACTTGAGGAACAACGCCGTTTAGAGGCGGAAAAGCGTGAACGTAAGAAACAGAAGGAAAAGGAACGGAAACAAAGACTCAAAGATGAAGGAAAGCTTTTAACGGATAAGGAAAAGGAAAATAGGAGAAAGGTTTTGGAACTTGCTCACGCTCGGGGTTTGGATCTTGGGGCTACCAAAATTGATTTGAAAAACCGAACATACTCTAGAAAAAAAAAGCGCCCACAAGGTCAAGTGGAGGAACCTGTCTTAAGCCAACCTGTTGTTGAAGCAGAGGTAAAAGTTGAACCCCTGGAAGAAACCATTGATGGTGTTATTGATTGGGAAGACCTTGCTGCAGATCTTGTCACCTCCGATAATAGTGAATGTGAAAACTTATCCCTTCTTTCTGAGGGCGTACTTCACGGTGGGGTTGAAAGTTCTCCTTCCCCTCCTATGTTAGAACTTGACCAGTCAGAGGTCTATAAACTCTCTGAAAGTCAGCTCACTGAGGAAGAGAAACGTAATCTCATCGAGCAGGTAAAATTAAGACTTCAGGTAATCGCTTGAGCCTTCTTAATTTTGTTTTAGCGGGAACGTGCACAAGATGAGGAGTCAGTTTCTGAAAGAGCACTCAGATCCGGTGTAATATGTGTCCTTGGTCATGTTGATACTGGTAAAACCAAAATTCTGGATAAGCTGCGTAACACAAATGTGCAAGATCGGGAGGCAGGAGGTATTACTCAACAAATTGGCGCTACAAACGTGCCAAGAGAAAACATCATTCGTTCAATTCAAATGTGCAAATATTTCACACCAAACGATTTAAAGATGCCTGGTTTGTTAATCATTGACACCCCGGGTCACGAGTCATTTACGTAAGTATTTATATTCAGAGTAATTGACTTTAGAAATTTACGAGTTCGAGGATCATCATTGTGCGACTTTGCGATTCTTGTGGTCGATATAATGCATGGTATAGAAGAACAAACAAAAGAATCTATTCGGATTCTCTTGAGCCGAAAAACACCTTTTGTCGTTGCGCTTAATAAAATCGATCGGCTATATCAATGGAGGAGTTATCCGAGTCTTCCTGTTGAGGAGGCCTTGGCAAACCAAAATGAGGTTACAATTAACGACTTCAACCAGCGGTTTAAGGAGGTCTGTTTGTGCCCTGATGTCATATTCTCGATGCAGTGTTGTTAAAGCAAGAAGGCTTATCCTTTCCGTTTTTCTGCCTGCGAATATTAGCGTAGCAATTATTTTATAGCTTTCTTGGTGACTGGGTGCTGAGAGCATAATGGAGCAGTACTACTAGTAACATGTGACAAGTCTGGAATTCAATTGTACTATGTCAGATTCCTGCTACTTCATTTAAGCGCGTAGTATTGCTTAACTGTTTTGTTTCAATTTCAGGTCGTTCAACATTTTGCACTGATGGAATTAAACGTTGAACTCTTTTACAAGAATCTCAATCCTAACGAATTTATCAGCATGGTACCCACATCTGCTCATTCGGGTGATGGAATGGGTGATCTTTTAGCCTTTATGTGCAAGGAAATGCAACGTAGGTTATATAAGCGTTTAACTTTCTCCGAGGAACTCAAGGCATCGGTTATGGAGGTACCTTTATGTGTTTTACTGTGTGTGATCTGTGTTGGAGATCTTAATTTTGTGGGGATCATATTTTTTGGTGCACATAGATGTGCTCTTCTAAGCCCCTTAAGCTAAAATGTGTGCATTATTCATTTTGGTTCTGGATTAGAATTCTTGGTAGTACAACGAGTGTATTCGCATTGTGGATACAATCGCTTTTTTTCGGATATTGACTATGATTGTATGCCAAGGATGCCAGGCTATTGACCTACCCAAGTTGGTCTCATGCGAAAACACTCATGTCTGTTTACTGCTGCTTTTTATTGTTTTGGTAGGTGAAAGAGACTGTCGGTTTGGGTACGAGTTTGGATGTTATTGTAGTGAATGGTCGTATTCGCGAGGGCGACACCATCGTGCTGGCTGGCCAGGAGGGCCCCATAGTTACGACGGTGCGCAGCATCCTCATGCCTGCACCCATGTCGGAGCTGCGTGTGAAAGGAAGTTACGAGCATCTAAAGGAGGTGGTAGGTGCACAAGGCGTCAGACTTATTGCTCGTGACCTCGAGAAAGCACTGGCTGGGCTACCATTATATGTAGCTAGGGATTTGGCCGAAGAGCTCTACTTTAAGGTATGTTATTTGAGTGGTCCACTTCTTGACCAAACCTTGTCATTGTATTATTGCTTTGTCCGCGTTAACTTTTGTCTAGCTCTCGTTAAGTTTGGCATAACTTTGTGAACATTCACCGTTCTTTTTCCTTGGCTGTCTATTGTGTTTGAGGCGGTCCTTGGCTAATCATTTTCTTGGCTGTTTCATAGGTTTGGATATGAATCACATTTCATTCGATGTTAGATCATAGTGTAATGTTGTGTGCGTTTTAACGACGAGTTTGTTATTATGAAATTAGTTGTTCTTGTGGTTTTCAACATTCCAGTTCTTGGAGTTGATGGTACTCGGCAACCTTGCATAGAATCTGAACATGTTGCTAATATTCCCCGCAGGATGAAGTGAGCTGTGGCTTGAAGGGGGCGCTGAAAGCAATCGCCGTTAGTCCTGTGGGTGTCTACGTTGTGGCGAGCACTCTCGGTTCTCTCGAGTCCTTACTTACCTACCTCAAGTCCGTCAACATTCCAGTACGTTTATTTCTTTTCTAGGTTTGTAAAGATTTGCCTTAGCAGACGTGCGATTGTTTGGCTAATGCATTTTTACGCTCCGCCTTTTGTGTAGCCCTCACTAAGTAGGTGAAGGATCTGTAGTTGAAAGGCTATTTTATGTTCTTTGGCAATTACGGTCATCTAATTTTTGCTTGCGGAAAGAAAACAAGTTGGTATTGCAATAGGCGTTTGGAGCAGTGATCCTTTTTATACTATTCATTCATATTGGCGATTTAGTACTCTGGCATCAGTATTGGTACAGTGCATAAAAAAGACGTTATGAAGGCTTCTATTATGGTGGAGCGAGACAGAAAGTGGGCCGTCATTCTCGCCTTTGACGTGAAGATTGACAAGGACGCGCAAAAAATGGCAAATGAAGTTGGTGTGCAGATATTCACTGCGAACATCATTTATCATCTTCAACTTCGGATGGAGGAATATGTGTACGTTTTTGTGATGGATAGCATCTCCGTCATTTTTTTCACTGATTTAATTTACATGAGATTCTCTTGGTTGGAGCACGAAAAGCTGCACTATTTGGACATAAGTTGTACTTACACTAATCGAGGATGTATTTCTTCACTAACAGAGAAGCTCTAATGAAGGAAAACCGAAGGAAGCACGCGAACCAAGCCGTATTTCCAGTGAAGTTGCGCATTCTCCCTGATATGGTGTTCAACAAACGTGCACCGATCGTTATAGGCGTACATGTGGAGGCGGGATTGCTTCGTGAGGGTACACCGATTTGTGTTCCCTCCCGTGACAATGCCCTTCTCGGTAGGGTATTCTCCATCGAGTTCAATCATAAGGCTATCCAAGAGGCACGAACTGGTCAAGAGGTGTGCATACGCATCGATCCTGTTGAAGGCGAGGCGCCCAAGTTATATGGCCGTCATTTTGACCACACAGACCTGCTTATATCGAAGGTAAAAGGCCATATTTGTCCCCGGTCATCCGGTGATCGCATTCAATTTCCTCTTCTTTTCATGACCAGCTCTATGCTCCTGTTTGTTTGAAAACTAGCCCTGTGCCTTTATGGAGTGAATCTGGATGCTAATGCTTCCCTTAGCCTTAGGAGTGTTTACAATTTCCTTTAACTGTTTTTTTAGTGGGTTATAAGGAAGGCAGCAAATCCGTTATTTTTTATTTGCTTTTTTGTGTGACCTTTTCCAAGTTTTTTTTAATTTCGACTACAATGCCAATAGCGCTCTTGAATATTTAAGCTTCAGTAGAATGCATCGGGTTTTTGCGTGGATGAATAGATTATCTCAGCTATCCATTCTTGTTGCCATCATTATTCATTCTTTGTAGGTATCTCGTGACAGTATCGATGTAGTTAAGGATTTTTACCGGAACGACTTAAACAAGGAAGACTGGAAACTGATGGCGGAGTTGAAGGAAATGCTCTCAATCATATGAAGTGGGAAGGGTCGGTGATGCTGAGGCTGGTGGGAGCTCGCATGGTAAAGATTTTGATATGCTCCGTCTTTACCTCTTGGCTGCGGTTGTTGCTGCTAATCATTACTTTGTTAAACTGTAGTCTTGACGTCTTTCATTTGGGTAAACTGAGACCTTACCTGGTTCCTCGTTTTTCACGGCACAAAACTGCAGTTTGTGTAAGTGGTGCGCTGTTAGGGGTCCTGGAGATGAGCTTTAGGAAGCATTCTACCATCGAGTTGTGAATTATCGTTTAATCTCATTGAGAAGCCAATCGTACTCATACGATTGAAAATTGCTTAAATATTGCTTACGAAGGTGGTCAAGACGTCGGTTTTGGAACATCTAATGCAGGAGAACGGTTACTTTGGTGGATGCCTACTGGCGAGTTATGGTGTTTTGTCGTTAAACGAACACAAGTGGATTGCTACTAGAAAATTCGTCCTAGTTGGGTCACGATCTTGCAGGAATGTGGCAAGTGTGGCTGAGGGTGAAGATTGCCGTGGCTGTATTTTCGACGTCATTCTTTGATTCTATTTGTGCCATACATTGCCAAATTTCACTTCATGTAGTATTGTGGTCAGAGGCACGACTTCGCAACGAGGATGTTCTCGATGAAGTAACTGCTTGAATACATTTCCGTCTGTCACGCTTACATAAACAAGTAGTAACAAAAAATGATTAAGACTTCGTGAGAAGAATGGTTAATCAACGCTTATAATCATGCAGACTCGTCCCATGAAGAATCTATTAAAAATCAGGGATGAGGAAAGACGGAAAGCAAAGGAAAGAAGGACTGAGGGTGCGGCTGATTGTCGGGTGTGGAACTCGGCCGTGGTAGCGGTGACAGCAGCAGTGATGCTTTTCAATGAGTTATGTAGCCTGAACCAATAGAGGAAATGAGTCTTGGCATCCAGCGGATCTTGTAGCCACTATCCACGCGCATCTTAATGCTAGCTCCTTCTGCTACCCGCACAGTCTCAATTACGGCCTGCATTAGGTTCTGCGCATTACCCACCAGGACCTCTGTGTTCTCCTGATCCTCCGGGGAATCTAATATGAACAAAGAAAACATTTTCTACCAGACATTGGCCCTAGTTACAAAACAACAGCCATTAGGTAC